CTGCTTTGAAGGAGCTCGAGCCGGGAGTAGAGCTCAAAAATCTCGGATAAGAGCCATGCGGTCATGATTGACATAACGGTCATCCTAAACCTGGATCCGCTTGAGGTATATTACATGAACTACACTTTGATATCAATGTTATTCATAGTCGCAAGACTGGATATGTGCGCGAAGAACGCGTAGCGAAAACTTGATATCCTGGGGAAAGCGATGCTATAGCGTTTTCCGATTCCCCTTTGGAATCGGTTAACAGATTACGGTGGGCCTTCCATGGTATATTCTGGTGCGCACACTGCCAAGTCCCTCATAACTTGTTATTATTCTCATGACACGTCAAGATGAATGCAACAAGCGGGCAACACCGCAAGGTGAGCGTCATCCTTCAAGACTTCAAAATGCATGACATCATCGACGCGCTTGACAGACGCCGGCGGTCGCGGCAGCGGTCACTTCGTTGCTCAGTGTAGGTGCGTATCCCCCTGGCTATCCTCATGCTCTCTTTAATTTGCTGCCGTAGCCTCGGGATCATCTGCAGATGTGCGTGCCCATGTTCAAGAATATTTAATGCAAGAATCAAGTGAGGCGGCGACGCGGCGTCGGATAGATACTCACACCTCCCGCGCAGGTGCCCATCAACTTGTCATGTTGCACACAGCCTGTCTTGTACTTTTAGATATTCATCAGACATAATTTAGACCTGGTTCTGTTAGTGTGATAACGAGATAAATGGTCAGCGTCGCAGCGAGCCAGGAGAGGCGACATACTGGATTATGTAATGACGCACGAGCAGATAACCCCTCACGTTGACAGAGATTATGCTCAGGTCTAATCCGGGCGAAATCCCGTCGAAATCTGACTGTAATCCTTTCATAATTGTGCGGTTACCACGAGATTCACCTACGTCATAATCTGGGAAGAACCTGGGCGTAATCCGAACGTTACGCTCAGGCTATGCCACGGTCACGGTTGTGTATACGGGGATCGATGGCTTACTCATCCTCAGCTCCTTTATTCAGGGCTTCACATAAAAATGCGTGTTCGTGGACGGGGACTCGCAGGCTTTCACCCACAGCTTCCGCGAACAATGGCTGAAAAGACCCCCATCTTTGTCATTGGCGCAACTGGTGCATGTCTTCAGGTATGGGAGTAGCCATCGTTTGCTGAACGTCGTACAGGCTATATCGGAGGCTCCGTCCTCTCCAGGTTTCTCTCGCACCCTAGCGCAAACACCTTCGACATCACAGCACTTGTGCGCAGCGAGGAGAAAGCCAAAAAGCTCGAGCAGTTTGGCGTCCATAGCGTTATTGGTTCCTACAAAGATACTGCGCTGGTTGAGAAGCTCGCCGAGAACGCGCACCTCGTTCTCTCCTTGGTGCGCCCCCGCATCCTCGCGGCCCCTGAGCGACTCTGACCGTCTTGTTGCTTTAGGCCGACGCAGATGACCTCCCCGCTATCCAGGCTGTCCTTAAGGGTCTAAGACAACGCCATGCGAAGCTCGGCGATCTCCCTATTCTCATCCATACTGTATGTTTCCGCGTCAGGCGCGTCTCAAAGCTGCTGTGTACTAACGTGTTTAGTGCAGTCTGGCACAGGCATTTTGACCGAAGGTCAAGAGACCAAGGGAATGGCAGCCACCGATGTGGTCTACGATGACTCGAACTTCGAGCAGATCGCCAATATCAAGCCAACCGCGATGCATCGTGACGTTGACAATGCTATCTTCGAGGCCGACAAGCAGGGTACGTACCCCCGCTCTAGTTGAATATGCACGCGACAAATTCACCATACGATACAGGCTACCTCAGGGCGTACATTATCCTGCCTAGTACCATCTATGGCATCGAGAAGAACCCGCTGGTCGATGCAGGCATCCAGAACCCGTTCTCCATTCAGATCCCTATGCTCATCAAGGCTTCTCTCGCCCGCGGCCGGGCTGGGATGGTAGGCAAAGGACTTCCGTTTTGGCCAGACGTCCACATTGATGATGGTACGTATACCTCTGGAATATGCGTGAAACCCTGCATATAGCTGATGACTCGTACCAGTCGCGGACCTATACATCATCCTGTACGACGCGATTATCACCAAGGGCCCCGAGAACGTTGATCACGGAGTTCGCGGCTACTACTTTGGCGAGAATGGCGAGCATCCGTGGTACGACATCTCCAAGGGGATCGGCGAAGCCATGGTGGCGCTTGGTCTCACTAACGATCCCGAACCGACAACGTTCACGGATGAGGAGCTTGAGAAGCATTTCGGCTCTGTGGTACGTGTGTTCTAGACGTCGTCCGGAAAAGAAGATGCTGATGGAGCATACGACAGGATGCAGGTAACCACTGGGGTACGAACTCGCGTGCTCGTGCGACACACTCAAGATCTCTTGGCTGGAAGCCGAAGTACACCATCCAGGACATGATTGCAAGTATCAAGCCTGAGGTTGAAGCGAATTTGAAGCAAAAGCAAACTCAGAAGTAGTAGTCATTAAGCAGGAAAGACCGAGTGTACCACAGTACCACAAAGATATACACGGCGCCTCTATTTAAGCGCCTGTCGCGTCGTTTGCTCTCTGACGACTACCTCGATCTCGCTCATCATATGTCGTATGAGGCAGAGCAGAGGAAGACTCTCCGTTCCTCTAACCACTCTCGTGCGTCCCATCGGTATCTCGACTGACAATCTACCAACACGGTTTGGCTCCCAGGACGCTATGAGGGCGGATAACCCGTCGGGCTCTACGAAAGGGAGAAGACCAACAGATATCCAGGTCTTTCACGTTCACGGTTCGGCAAGGGACGACCCACGATCCGCGTAATGACCTTTGTGGCGCGCGGGGCGTACAGTGCCGTGTCCTGCGCTTCTATGAGACGATGAAGGGTTTCCACACGGTGGGTCCTACACGTTACAGCGCATAGGATTGTACGAACTGACTCGCCACAGGGCACCCTAGATTTCGCAGGCCGACATGAGCGCAGGTACCGATTTGTCAAGGAGCGGAGTTCGCGGCAGAGCTCCACGAGCTACTTGAACATGGTAAGTACAGAGACGGAGGTGTCTGTGCTTGACTCTTCGGGGGAGGTCGTCACGCTACCGGGAGACCCGCCATCACCGCTCATGGATGACTCTTTCTATGTCGATCCGGACGACTTGCTCAAAGAGTTTGAAGAGAAGTGGAAGTCCACGGTGTACTTTATTATGGCCATGAGATGCCTTTATGGTGCGTGGCTGCACCACCAATGCTGATCTGGAAGCTTGAAGGCTTACTTGGA